TGGCTTAAACCATCATCTATCTCATTCATCTTACCTTAAACAGATTGCTTAGAGTATAAATTCTTTTAATGATGGAGTGAATAGGTTCTAATTATTATCTACTTTAGAATGCATAGTTTGAATGTTGATTGAAGTATGTAAGCTTTGGCTTTAAGAATTATAACAATCTTAACATAGAAGGCATGTACTTTAAATGTTGGGGTATGCAGACTTGACCTATAGGATTATAACTATTCTACCAAATGACATACTTAAACAGAAATACAAGAATCCTACCCTAGGATGTATAATTTGAAGTTGTTACATGACCTGTTTAAACTTTTTCTGATCTTTATTATAATCACTGGACCAAAGTCAAACCAATTCCCATTTTTCAGACCAAGCAGTAATAAAATATGTGGCAAAGACAAGCCAAACCAGTCACTCGTCGGAAAAATCGATTTTTAGTTATTAATAAAGGGTTTAACAGTAAAATGAGAGCTATAAAATGGTAAAAGAATCATTTAAATCCAACATTTCGTTATGAAGTTACACGAGTTTAAACATACAGCTGTTTAAAGAACAATATTTGAGAAATCAGCCTTCAAAGTTTACGATTTCAGGCATTTCTTAGGCAGAAACCATCACCAAATCGTTAAAAATTGTTGTTTTAAAACTGAAAATGAAGAAAATAATAGCATAGCATGATGTATAGATATATAAAGGTTAGTTTAGTGCAATAAAATAGATTTCCACAATTTTGAAATTCCAGCATGTTTTGGCCATTATCTCCAAAACAGGATTTGCAACGAGTGACTGGTTTGGCTTGTCTTTGCCACATATATCAATTAACTCATTTTTGCTGGGCCTTGGATGATAATCATAATTTTGCATAGATCATGTATTATACCATGGTAAAAATGAAATAAATAAATAAATAAATTAATAAATATGTTCCAATAATGCTAAATTGAATCCCAATTTGTCATAAAAATGTGTTCTGATTAGCAATCAATTTCTCTAGTCAAGAAACTAATCCTAAAATTTTACCACTACCAGGAGGTTTCTCAAACATGATTTAAAGCATTCAGCCTGCATACAGAAAGGTGAGAGTTCACACCTAATTTACTTGACATTTCTTAAGTACATGTAACATTGGTGTGAAGACTGGAATCACTCGAGACACAACATGACACCTCGTCACTCAAAAAGACATTATAAAGCACATACCGATTGCATAAGCGTGTCTATGTCAGAACCATGTCTAACGGTCCTCCTCGTCCAATCAAGGGCCATTTCAAAGATCACACGATCACTTACAAAAGCAAGTTCTTTCATTGCAATAACCTCAATCTAGGGATTTGTAAATAAAAAAAAAACATGCATAAAACTTAAATACGTTATATTAAATATAATTTGTTTTACAATTCAACATTTACTGTAAAAAAAATATTATCATAGTTCCTGTGTACTTTATATTTTGTTGCACCTTGATTCTTTATTCTTGATTTTTTATAAAAAAAAAAAAAAATCAGTTGAGAAATAACCACTGAAATCTGAAGGGGCACAAAATTCCATTTTCAATATATGACTGGTAAAATTCAATTTTTTAAGTCCATTTAAATTCTATGTTTTAATGTCTATTGTTAAAACTGTATAATTTTTCACTAGTACAGTACCTTCTTATTATATTTTAAAATGAATGACCATTACTATTAATTCTGAAAGATGTGTACAAAGGGTATGTTAAGCCGCACATGCAAATCCTTTAATATCAGAAAAACACATTAATGTTTACACCACATATTCAGGCTTATCTAAATTGCATGTCTGAAACCACACACTAATGTTTACACCAGATATTAATACTATAGTATTTAAACAATACAATCAGGATATAGTATTTTCATCATATATTAATGTGTTAAACAATATTATCAGGATGTGTGTTCAAATTGCAAGTTTAGCCTGTTAAACCACATATTCATAATCATATATTTATAACATTCATAATAAAACATTAATGTATAACATAAAATTCATAAGGTATAAACCAAACATTCATGTTATATTCAAAGTGTTATGTTTAAGCCTGAAAACTACATACATAATAAAATATTCATAATGTTCAAATCAAACATTTATGTATTTAAACCAAACATTCACAATATTAAACTACATATTCAAGATGTATAATTACATGTTTGGATTAAACACTTTATGTTCAGTCAAACATTCAAAATATTTCATGACATTTTTGTGAAGTTTAAGCTACTGTACATATTCAGGCTGTTACTGAACAGTATGTTTACAATATGTGGTTGTATATATATTACTGTACTATATATTCAAACCACACTACGTACCCTCGCTTCATTCAAATACTTATATTTACCTCATACATGCATAAATTAATGTTTAAATTGCACATAGTTTGTGTTTAAACCTTCAATAATCGTGTTCAAAGCATTGAAGTGTTACGTTTAAACATTCAAAACAACTATCAAGCTTCAATTCCAATCATTCAATATATGCACATCATTAGAATCCACAAGTCTGCCTGTTTTTTTCTAAGTAATTACACGATGCTGTTGTATTGCTGTTAGGTAATTACAATGGATTTCACTGATAGGCTGATTACGTGCAGAAATAAACGTGATTGTGTGTACGTGCCGTTTCACTCTCGTCCATCATGAATAAAGGCCGCGACTATACAGTTTTCAAAAACGCCATGCAAAATGTTCATGACTTTATATTGATTTTTAGGATTTCAATTTATGTTTCCCTAATAGTTTCAAACTGAAGTTGAATGTTTTATAATGTTCAGCTTATGTATATAGGTTGTGTAAGTAAGCGAAGGGTAGTCTGATATTAAGTAAGTATTATAATTTATCTGTTACTGATCGAACTTGACACTTGAAGTGTAAAGATGAGATAGAAGTAAACCAGTTTGGAGAGCTATAGTGAAATATTGTGTAGCAAACAAGTTGAATATGGCAATAAAATAATGATGAAATGTCAACGAGTAGGAAGAAATGGGGTATACAAATAGAAAAATGAAATAATAAACAAAATTACTTTTTCCATGTATATCTTTAGACAAGCAAAAATAACATTATTACATAAATGATTTAGTTGTGGTATATTTTAAATCATTATTCTGAAAATATTTAAGATTTTAAGTCATTAGTTTCAATAATAACAAGATGTGCCAGGATTAATTTATCCCCTTGTTGTAAAACCAAAAAAAGAAGAGCATGACATTAAAATTTTTTTAAATATAAAAAAATAAACAGAAATATAAAAAATAACTTCCATGTAATTTGTCAGATATTTCAGAATGATCAGGCAGTAATGTATGTTCTTAGTATGTTTCTTATTTTTGTAAGTGTTTGAATAATTTTAAAGTTGATATAATTATAATTTGTGAAAAAGACAAATACTATATAATCTATGCCAGGTATTATTTGCTGCTACCCACATTCCTTCATACTGTATTTTTATTTAAATGTTAATCACTTTATCTGGAAGTAAATTGAAACAAAAACAAACCAAAAAAAAGAATTAAAATTTTAAAGTTTGGACAAGAAACTAACTTTTTAACTAATGCAACAAACAACATTTAAAAACAGACACGATATTAACAAGACTGAGTGTAAAAGGGTTTATGTATTATGCAATGTGTTAATGATTGTATTCTTCATTAAATTTCAGTGCACATGTCCAACTATCCCGGAGCAACTTCCCAACCAATAATGCTATTAAATAACATGCCATGAGACATTTTATACAAAATTTAATCAGACGAATATGACCTCCCACTTACCTGCAACCGTGGCAACTGATGGAATTCATTACTTAATGTGATGTCTTCAATGTTCTTCAGAATAAATGAGTCGATAGTTGCCATTAAATCTTTATCTTTCTGCTCTTCAGCGAATAATCGCATTCCTATGAACAAATACAGAATATAATAATTTTAATTATTATTTTTTTATTTATTCATTTTTTTTTATTCATTCTGAAAGTAATCAATAGTAAATACATTCAAGGATAAAAACACAGAAAAGTACAAAAAGCCACTTATTTCCACTGTGGTCCCTAAATGAGAATACTGAAATACCATAATAATAATAATAATAATAATAATAATAATAATAATAATAATAATAATAATAATAAAAATGGAAACAATACAATAAATACATTTAAAATACTACATAGACAAATTCCATTTTCATCATCAAAATTAAAATATACTTTATTATAAAGTTCAGATATATAATGGTTTTTTATGAGTTTTTTTAATGTGTGTGGATTGTGCATTTTGAACATTATAAGGTAATTTATTCCATTCATCAACAGAGATCAATGAATGAGAAGTAGAAAATCTAGTATTATAGTTATGAAGTTGGTTAGTAAACTCAATACCAGTATTTAAATATAAAGGAGATATGCCATTTATAATTTTGATTATTTGAATATATCAATTTTCTGTAACTCTAGTAGAAACAGATAGCTAATTTAATTAAATGGCCAGGCCAGGCTAGGCATGGGGGATTACAGGTCAACCCGCACCCATGCCAACCCGTACCCACGAACCGTACCTAAATTTTGGTCGACCCGTACACATCTTTGGTCAACCCGTACACATCTTTGGTCAACCCGTACACAGCATATACTAACACGTACCCAAGTTTGATGAATGATATTTTTACTACAATAATAAAACATTTTGCAAACTGTATTGTATATCAGATAGATATTATACTATATTATGAGCGCCAAGCTTACGGGTTAGAATACATAATTACCTTTTACTGAGCATGCATTAAACCAAGAAATTCATGATCGCCTAGGCCTACACGTTGGTCGCGATCAACAGCGTATGGAACGCCAATGTACACATTAAGAGGTCAGTACCGTTAAAAAAAAATTTTTTTTTAGCATGATTTAGACTTAGTATTGATTTTATTTATTTTAGTTTTTAACGATGCTTGACTATACATATTTTTTTATTGTATTTTTCTTCAGCATGATTATTATTTAGTTTTTTTTAACGATTGCCATTGTTACGGTATATCAAATATACTTTTCTGAATTGTAAAATTATACAAATAAAGTTACTGTTACACACACGTGCATCTGCACTGCATTACATGCATCTAGTTTTTCTTTTTATAGGCCTACGTTTATTTTTATCAAAACTATATTTATATTTCCACTAATTTGTGTATTTTGATATGCTACCAGTAGCAGAGATGATAGCTAATAGTGACATGTGTATGAAGTTACAGTAGGTGAATACACGTTTTTTTGCACCTAAAAATAGCTAGTCTTTTATTTTATATGTACAGTATATCAAATATATGTATTAGAATACAATTATATATGTATTGTATGTATGCAATAGAATTTAATGAATGATTATTAATATGTATAATATATACATAAATAAATATATGTATTTATGTATATATATATATATATATATATACAGTATATATATATATATATTAATATATATTTAATAAAGAATAGGCCCAAAGGCAAAAGAAAAGAAAAAGTAAAATTAAAACCAGAGAAAATTAAAAATAAAATTGAAAAATAGAAGAGAAAAAAAGGACACTAATAAAGAATACCTAGGCCTAGAGGAAAAGAAAAAAAAAAAACGAAGCAGAGAAAATTAAAACTGTTTAAAACTTATTATAACCTTATTATCGGCGACGACAATCTTCTTATAGACTGCACAAGATTGTACAGATACAAATATCTTTTGGGTACAGGTTGACCAAATTGACGTGTGTATGGGTCTGTTTGGGTACGGATTGACCGACACTGGGCGTAGGCCTAGGCAAGCTAGGCCTAGCCAAGCCATTGTTGTCAATAGTAAAATGACTTTGTTAAAAGGACACTAATAAAGAATACCTAGGCCTAGAGGAAAAGAAAAAAAAAAACGAAGCAGAGAAAATTAAAACTGTTTAAAACTTATTATAACCTTATTATCGGCGACGACAATCTTCTTATAGACTGCACAAGATTGTACAGATACAAATATCTTTTGGGTACAGGTTGACCAAATTGACGTGTGTATGGGTCTGTTTGGGTACGGATTGACCGACACTGGGCGTAGGCCTAGGCAAGCTAGGCCTAGCCAAGCCATTGTTGTCAATAGTAAAATGACTTTGTTTAGAGTATAACTATTAATTATCGATTCAATGTTGGAATATACTTTTAATTTTTGTGGCGGTCGGCGATCGTAAACAAAACAGTCAAAGTTCAAGAGGCCACACCTCTAAACTGGCCGTCATCAACGAGATTAGCCGAGTGTCAACCAATTAGGTTAATTTCATACGCTTGAGTTACGATGACGTCAGATCGCCCAAAGCTAGCCCTGCACAGCAAGCATGTGTTTACAACTACATGCTCGAGTCAGAAGCATGTGCACACAATGGTAACCGCAAGAATCTAGGCCTAGGCTAGCCTAGGCGACCTACGTTTTTGGCTTTCGTGTTTTCCTTCAAGATTTGAATGTTCTTATTTAGATTTATTTTACGTGTCAAATGGCGTCGTGAGGGCACCGAGGCCAAGGCTGCAAAAGGGCAGGCAAGTAGTGGCCGTCTTCATGCTTCATTTTCAGGGGCACCAAGGCCAACCGTCGGCAATAGCCGCGGTAAAATTCGAGGCCTGACTTTATTTTAGGATATTTGTAATTTATTTTTGATTTTTTTAATATCTATTTACATTTCAACCTAGAGCGATGTTAACAAGTTTATATACCTGTATCTTATTTCATGTAATCAAATAAGAACATACTTTACTATAAAGAAGTCTGCTAAACCTAAAGCCACTACAGGGTACTGCTGCTAAGCAGCAAACACAAACAACAAAAAACAGGGAATGCTAAAGACACACAGCCTCAGGGCTGGAAAACCAAATGAAAACACAATTATGCTGAAGAGTACAGTAAGTTGATGAATAAAAATAATAATAAAAACTCACAACCCTCAGTCAATTACGGAAACTCAAAAACATGATTATACTATTCAATAAAGGGAAAAGTTTTTTTTAAAACCATATTTATAGAGGGTGACCCTTACAGTGTATCCTTGAAAGTCGGTGGAGATTCAGGAGCCCTCTTAAATAAATAAAATAATGTGATGCTTTTATCATAAGTCTCTTTGTGAGACTTAGGGAGTGGATTTGCTGGCACAGGAATTTAACTCAGAGTGATAAGTTGTGGTAGTGCAGCAGTCCATACAAAATGATTCTCTGTAGTGTAATACAAGTACAAATGGATTTGATATAGTCTACATTGTTTGGTTTTACTCCCACCTGGTCCAGCCCTTTAACAATTTTTTTACCAAGATTTCCTTGAATTACTGATCAGATATATAACGTGTTTGAAAGGTCAATGGTTGCTCATATATTATTTTATTTCCACTCCTGTTGCCTTCACCTATTCATTAATAATATACACATTGTTAGTTTTTTTTCTTTCTTTTTTTCGTTTTTTCTCTATTACTTTGTCTTACACCATGTATGGATTGGGGTGAATAGGTGTTGATAAATGCATGGGTTTGCATAATTATGGAGCGGAGTTGAATAACTTGATGAAAGATGCTGGTCTTTCATCCAATCACAGTGTCTTGGGTTTAATTCTTATGACAGCAAAATGGAGAAGTTTATAAAGTGTAACTGATCACTGGGAGAACAGTAAGGTTTCTATTGAACAGGTTTACTCAGTATAAGGAAAAATAATTAATTCATTAATCAATAGTAATTGTCAACATCTTATATTAATCATCATCATAAATTATTATACCAATCATATCAGTGCAAATATTTAAAATGAAAAATTACACTAACCTAAGCAATTCTTTGCACTCAGATAGCTGACTATGTGCTCCTTACACGCAGACCGCACACGTGAAACCTCAAGATATCGAGACGCCTTGTATATTTCTTTCACCTGATTGTGTGGAACCTCAAGTCTAAAAATATTAAATATAAAATTTAATTATTCATTCACAACAATTTACAATCAATCATCCCTTAGGCGAGACAAACAGGCCAAACGCAAATATTGATGATTTTGAATAAAAATAAAATTTTATTTTTGGCCAATTAGCACATCTGCTGCCACGAAAATGTGGGAAATCTCAGAAAAAAATAAGTTTTTCTTTATTTTTATTACGCCCTCCGCTGCCTTGAAACCTCTAAAGATAAGCTATGTATATTTCTTCCGAATTATATAAATTTGAAGCATTTAACCATCCTATTTTACAGTACATACACCAATAAAATTTTATTTTTATTTTCTCCTCCGTCTGGATGATTTTGGCAATACTATTTGCTAAATAAAACAAAATTTTATTTATATTCTGCCCTCCTCCGATAATAATAAAAAAAAAAAAAAAAATAAGTACACGAAACAAGGAATAAGAGTGGTCTTGCCTTATGATCAATAAACAATGAAAAATACTTAAATATACAGATTCTCTTTTATTTATGGCTCCTTAATAATTAATTCATTTTATTACATCTTTTTTATAGAGTGTGAACTTGCACATGTAATTTTAAACAGCAGGTTGAGCAGTATCGCAGAAGGTCCATTCAATGATCTGTCCCCCATATTCATATTCAACACCCACATATGCGTTTTCACACATAACCTTTCTCAATACCACACGCGTACTGTATTAGGAGAGGCATTTTTCACAGATTACCGTACGTCCTTAACAATTTAAATTGCATTAATATTGATATTTTCTCTCGGATAACCGTGTTGCATTTGAAATGAAGATCATGTATTCCTATCTCAAAAAGAAGGTATATAGTCTTCATAATGAGTTACACTGTGTGTTTTCCTATTATTATTAATATAATCAAAATTTCTTATTTCATCGTACTATTTCTATATTTGTATTTGATTACTGAAATTATAAAGGTCAAATTCACTTTTAGACTATTTATTTTATTTTATCAAACATGTTAGTAAATTTTCAGTGCTGTTGGTAATTTAAAGAATACAGAAATATCACCCAACCAAACATGCTTTCATATCCCTATCATACTCATACTGAAAAAGGCGATTTTTTTTTTCAGCTAAGCACCGGCTCTAGCACTCTTAACATAAGCAAATGTTTTTCAAAACATCTATGGAATTTTTGAAGGTATGATTGGCAAATTGAAGCTTTCCCTTCCCTACTGAGATATAAAAAAAATGCAACTAGTATTAGAAACTAACTAACTAAATAAATGAATAAAAAGAAGTAAATAAATAAAATAAATAAAAAAATTATAGTGGTTATTTTAAGTGCTGCCTGTCATATGCAAGAAGAAATATTATACCTGATAAAGAAATCAACCTAATTAGATGCTTTCTATTAAAATTTACAAATAGAATTTAAAAACATATAGTACTGTTAAAGCATGAAGTACATATTTCTATGATTTTTGCCTTGAAAAATTTTCTTCAATGTGATAAACCAGAAATGGTCACAAATTTCCAAAAAAACTATGTACTTATTTACAGCATTGCCATGGTGAATTTTCTGAAAGCGACCTGACTTGCATTTGTGAAAATACTTAATGGATGTTAGATATTCTAAATACTACAAGCACTACTTCTTTCTTGCTCATAAAATGTTATTATAAAGTCACATACGAATGTTAAACCATGAGAGGAATTACAAGGCTAAAATAACATGCTGAACTGGCACTGTGAAATGTAACCTGGGGCACGAACCAATAGCAGCTCTCTGTTTGACATTTAAGAATGAGGTTGAGATGAATACACACGTATGATGTACTAAGATACTTAGATGATACTGCAAAGAATAATATCTTGAGCATTCCTACACCAAAGGCCTATGATTATATGTATGTCTAGAGGGAAATGCTTACTCTGGTTTATAGCTTGTTAATGTTAGATTGCCACAAAAGAGGCTATCATTTATGAACATGATTATAAATAGAATAAATTTTAATATATTTTTATATAATTATGAATTGTATTCATGCACACAAAACTGTAATATATTATAAATAAGTGGTATCTCTTTTTTGACCACTGAAGTATTCCCTATACTATTTACATAATATAATTCATATTGCATATTTAACAAGGTAAATACAGTATGAAAAAAATAAAATAAATAAAAAATCAAAATGTGAAGACTTGCATTATAATATATTATTAAGTATAATGTAAAATCCTTCCATAATATTAAATATAATGTTACAATGAAACCAACCATAAACATATTAAAATAAATGATAATTAACATGCAATTAAGAATATCTTGTATTGCTTCTTAATTTTAAAGTGTTGTGGGAATAAGTTACTTGATGCTCTTTTGCTGACATAATGCACCAACTGTTTGAAGTCAAATACATAAATAAAAATGAACTGGATATTTCACATGAACCATAAACTATAAATAATCCAAAAAAATTTTCATAACAAAGGTTTCATAACAAAAAAATCAACTAATTTTCATCAAAACGTATACTATATTCATTTACGATTAAGTAAATTAATTAAAAATTTAACTTTTTTTGGACAAATCATCCTTGTTCGACAGAGGCAGTAAGGAGGAGTTTTCACCCCATTACTTCTTGATCAGAAACACCGAAAAACTCAGCATAAACAGTACATCACAAGATGTTTATTGTATTGAGAATTAAGTGATCCTCCTGAAATCATTTAAGACCGCTGTATCAAAAGAGTAAAGAGTTTTGCAATGGCCACAAAAAGCTGTTCACGAAGCTGTTTACATTTGTATGTGATGTGGAGTTTCAACCTTGTTAAAGATTTGAATACGGTTTGCATAGTCAAATCCTTACCAAATTTCACCACACACACACACACAAGAATAAACAGCTTTAAAAAAGATTATTCATGGCTGTTTGCGAAGCTGTTTATTCTCATGAGGGGCAGACTTAAGTAACATTAACGTCATCATACTCAAAATTGATTTTGTAGTAGTACATTTTAAAAATTATTTCATATTAAAATATAATATCTATTATACGGGAATACATATTACTTAACTACTATACAATATCTACTAATATTTTATGTTATTTTTATTGCACACTACTAGTAGATAGAAGTAGTTGGCATAACAGTTGTGTCTCGAACACTCAAACTAGGTCGGGGTTTCAAAGCACTCGCCATCCAAGTCGCTGTGTCCTGCTCTCTATCTCTCTCTCTACCCAGAAGTATAAATGGGTACCGGCATATGGTCTAAAGGTAAAACAGATAGCTGAGTGGGAGGAGTGGCGAACCCCCTACAGCTTTTCAGTCTGGCTACTTTTCAACCTTTACCTTACAAAATGAAAGTTTAACATCACATTGTTATCAAACATTCACACCACACGACATAATTTGTGGCAATAATTAAAGTCACCATATTGCATATCTAAAGTGGATTATGACAGATTCCCAAATCAAATAATCATAATAGAACCTTTAGCCTTTACTAATCAGGAATCCAGTAAATCATCGAGTGCACCCTTTGACAGCTGAGAATGAATAGCCTGACTTAGAGAAGTCAGTATATCTTATGGATGTATGACAATATTATATAGCATCCTCATATTATTAAAGATCGCTCTATGTTGAGCTAAAATATACTTATAAACATGGACACAAATAAGTCTAATTTTGATTTCTTTTTATTTATGCAAAAGTATTTTCCATGCTAACGAACAAATGCATTAATAAATAAAATAATAATTATATAAAAATTGGTTTACTCAGGTTAATTATATAATTTATTATTTTTTATTTCTATTATTTTTATTAATATATTTGACATAAGCTTTAAAAAATTAATAGGGTCTACAGTTGGGGGCTATATACAATCACTGATAGAGCACTTGGGTTGGTCATCACAGCGATTACACAAGACCCACCATGATTTCAACACACCACACCAATAATATTGTCCATCACTGGAATAGAATCTAGGCACAATAACAACAACGAAATTGAAATTGAATTACGATTTTCAGTGAATCCCTAATATGTACTGTCTATTAGACAAACAGTTAACAACTTTCAATTATTTACCCACTTTCTAATATGATTCATAATTGAATTTGTAATTTATAGACATGAATTTTAGGCCTTGTTTCTCCAGTATTTATAATTTCTCTGATAAATTATTTTAAAAATTACTTCCAAATATGTTATCCCATCATGCACCATATGGACAACAATACAATGTGTTCAACATCAAAATATCTGTCGAGCGCAGTCGTTTCAGACTTTAAAAAAATATTTAATAAGCATGAAAAATTCACTTTTATTATAAAGTGTTTAATACTAGGGCTACTAACTACTAGTTACCTAGAAACTAAATACCCACTACAATTCCCAATTGTCAATACCAAAAACATTTCTTTATATGACCGTGATTTGACATCGGTCAACGGATATTTATTTTCGCATTCGGACCTTTTTCCAATAAATTCTCATCCAAAAATCTATTACTGGGTAATAAAGTGCTGCAGAAACACAGTTTTTTATGTTAGTAAAACCAGGGAGTGGTAAAGCTAAATTTAAAGAGCCAAGGGGAAGTCCCAGGGAATTTTTTTAGTAAGTATATTAAATATTGTTTATGCAGTAACTGTCTTCACCTACTCCATAACAATGTTCATTTCTGCAAATCATGTTCATAAAATAGAAAGTTTGTAATTGTTTTACACTTCATGGCATAATAACAGACTTACTTAGAAACATAGGAATAGTTGACAAGCAGCTCAACGGCACTAGCGTCAACACCTTCCAGACTATGCATCAATAATCCATCACTATGCTGTCGGCGACACCACTCAGCAATATATGGACTCGTACATGACAAAACGGCGCGATGGGCTGGGATCTCTTGGTTACCCACCGACAAAATCAAGTCTATGTTTTGACGATGTTTGCGAAGCTCATTCATGCATTTTAATGTTGACATCGGACCTTGGTCATCACTGTACACTAACATTATGTCTGGTGTCTGTTCTTCTCTGGGATATTGGTCTGAAATTTGAATAATACAAATTATTTCTTTACCACCAAAAATAACATAAAAATGTTATAACTACACTTATTAAATATTAAAGTTACCATAACAAATAATCCAAAAATTCCTCCTCAAAATTTAAATTAACTAACTCAAAAATTATTTAATTCAAGATGAAATATTAAAAAAAAAAACCCAAAAAACCAATTTATTTAAACTACATTTTACAGTAATAGTTTATTACAACCTGTATTTGGTGGTTTCGCACTTGTGTTTGGTTTCATGAATAAGCATTAAAATGGATTAAGAACGCTCAGAATTTAAGCTAATTTAAATAAAAGAATATTATTCACTACTGTACATCACAATTTGAAATTGTTATAAATTAAAAATGCACAAAGGATTTAGTTGAAAACCATTTACAACAATAGCAGGAAAATCATTTGCAAACCAAATCCCAACCATCTAATAAAAATGATAATTATTCAAAAGATCTGATTGTTTAACAAATCACTTTGTAGACTATGGACAGCTGCATGCTAATTCATTTTTAAGCCAATGATTACAACCTTCAATTAACAACTTCTATGCCATCTAAATAATTAAAAACTCACTATTACATTATACACTACATTACATTACTACATTATTCTGATTCACGACAACCTTCAAGAATTAAACAATTTACTGACAGATATATATACATTTCAACCAAACTATTTTCATATTCGAAGACATTTGCTGGGTCCATTATCACAAATCATGCACGAATCATCAATCTTCTTTAATTTCGTCTTGAAATCAAATTTTAATAAGCTCTTCTATCGGTTACTATGACAAGTCGAGCCATTGAGGCTCAATTACAATCTGCATGTTAACATCAAACTTGACTGCTTGCCCTAGACTAATATTATTCACTTTTTTTTATTCTTTTAAAATGAATTAAATTTTCCCGATCCTATTGGTTTTGATTTCTACAAACAGTGCAACCTAAATTTTGAGGCCCTAAATTTAGACAAAAAGTACTTTCTAGATTGTTCACCTTCTTAATATTATTGTAATATAATTAGGTTTGGAATAATCAACTATCAGGATTAAATCCTGGTTTCCTTAAAATCGCTATCGCTACAATTTTTTACTGTAATTGTTGTGCTAATGTAGCAATCCCCGACGCAATTGGGAAGGCTCCCCAATACGATCAACCAATCAGAAAGCTGTCGGCGATAGTGTGTAGCGATTTTATGAAAAAAAGCTTTAGGCATACAACTCTTTTGAAAGGTTAAGGAATAGCATTTACTGTAAGTAAATCAAACATGAAAATATGTACAGCACTATAATTATTGTAGATAGATAATTCTAGGCATAAATGTATAGAATAACTAAATAAGGCACACTCAAACCTAACCTTATGGTGAATAGTTGTTCGTATGCAAACATTCTAAATGCACATTGTTTGATGCTCTATTGTATTAGAAGATTGTAACAATCATTATAATCAATTTTATTATGAAATCATAAATTATACTGGGCATGAATTTTGAAAATATTTATAAAGTAAAAAAAAAATATATATATATATATATATAAGTAATATATAAGTTTTAAATAATCAGCTTATTTGTTATAGATTTTAATTCTGAGACAAAAATATAATCCTTGTATGATACATTGCTACAAAACATTTCTTGAATAGGCAAACCAAGATCTGGCTTGAAAATGGTTTAGCATTAAAGTAACAACACAACTAAGCACTTGCTTTGTATTTCCTTGAAGCATTCTCTAATCTCTCTGTTGATCTATAAAAACAATGTCTGATAATTTCCTGATCCTGGATTCTACTGATCATTAAAAATGCTTTCTTGTTATTGATGCGAGTGTCTGGCCAAGAATTCATCGTACTTTATAGAGATCTTAGAGAAGAGGAAACCAAACTATAAAAATGTAAATTTGTGTTAAACCATGATCAGTAATTGCTGTTCATTGTTTGAAATCATGATCGTTTTGCATAGGCGGTAGACCACATGGATAGGCCTAAAGTATGGTACCGGGTTAAGGAGAAAATAATGTTTACTGTACAATCAAAGGAATCAAACAATTGGCTTATCTTTGAAGAAATAAGTACCTATGTATATTTAACCAAGTAATTACAAATCCAACACCTGCCATTAACAACCAAGAACAAGTACACAACTGCCACTAGGCCTAGACAAACTTGTGAACTATGACCCATCAACAAAATGTTTATTGTCCGCGTTTTTATCCGATGGGCCTTACAGTAGAACCGTAACAATGATTAAGTGGATTAATGGTGGGAGAAGTATATTGATTTAAAACTCAAACATTTAAATAGATCTCATCAAAAGAACAATACTGTGACATTTCAGAAGTTCAAATGCAAACTGTAAAATTCCTGTGCCAGTGTTTTTAATCCAGAAATTATCTCGATTTTGGAAAACAACACGATATTATAGATTTTAAATATGGAATCTGAAAAATACTGACAATATATTTTAAAGATTAAATCCGATAAGCATGTTGCAAGTCATTTCATTAAGTGCAAACCCACATCACATATTGTAGTAAACTCCTATACTGTACAAACACATTCAATAAAGACTTAATAAATGTTGAATAATCGTGTGAGTGCAAAATGATGTTAATTATTATCTTTTTTAAGAGCAGACTAGTAGAATTTAGGAATTAATCAATGTTGGCTAGCCAAATTTGGCTATGGCTCAGTTGAATTTAATAATTACCTTAAAATTTTTATCCTGAGAATGCTTAGCATAAGTATGTTTTATTGTTTACAGTAATCTTTGGTAATGATATTAATACAATAGTCAGCTGCAAAGACTAGGCCTAGCTTAGGTATATACACAGGATACAGAGAAAAGGGCAACAATAGACATCTTGCAATAGCAATTTGTTTACTACAGGTGGGTACTTAGATTGGGTGGATTTCTTACGGGTGAAACACACCACACAATCCACTGTAACCCTTCTTTTGTTGAATTAGCAGTCCCTAGACCACAATCTTCTACTATAATTTCTCTATCACGCACATGGGTAGATTGGCTTTGTGGGGTTTCATAAAGTACTTGGTTGTCATAGCACTCTACTTTAAGTGTCATGATCTTAATAACCTTCGACATTCATTTCATTGGAAATATATAATCTTTGCCTGCAGAAAAAAATTAATACTACCAAAGGGTCAGTTAAACCACCAATACATTTAATAGCTGCAGTCTAGAATTTTCATAGGTTTCATATCAAATCTATTGCATGGGCTCACTAATTGTTTATTGTATATAAATGATGAGAATTTCTGAAAGAATATTTTTCCTCTACCTTATCCCTTCTCTCTTGAATCCAAGCCTCTAATTTTATTCTTCCTTTACAAATAAACATACAAGTTGTATAGATATGGACAGGGAGTCTGGAATCAGTACAGACTATCGATTTGATATTTGAAAATGCACAAGATAGGAGAAATGTTTGACATAGCCAGAACATCTGTTTTACAATAAAACAAAAATTTGTTGTCAAAATCACTGGAAAAATGAATGATTTTAATGATTGGCTTATCACTTCTATTTCAAAACTTAGTCCAATTAGGAAGAATCCTGTTCATGGTTTACTGCACACACAGATGGATGTTACAAGAATTTTTTAAATATCAAATTGTGTCATGACTCAGAATTTGTAAAGAAAAGCAGGGACTATAATCGTTGATGTAATCTAGGACCCACTGAGTCAATAGCGATAACCAGTATCTCACTAGCAATTCAATTTTCAATGACTTAATTTAAAGTTTCAACTAGATTTTAAACACAGATCTTTTGAAAAAAAGTACTACACAAACACAACATTTAGAATTCACACTCACCATCTAGATGTAAAATTGTTTATATTCTAGTCATAACTGTGAAATACTAAATTACACTGGTTTCACAGATAGATAAACGTTCCACCCCACACTGAGGAAACTAGTTATAAGATTCTGCTTCTTCAAAGTGCAAAATACTGCTGATCACTAGACCATATCTCAAATCTTTCCCGCCAGTAGAATCTACTCTGATTGGCTCACGATAAAAGCAAGTTAAGTACTGTCATGGCAACAAGGATGTCATTGCAAGGTTAAAAGAAGATTGCTTTTGTGTTTACTAAACAATTGAAGGTCTGATCATTATATATAATACAGTACCTGCACTGCTAGTTAAGATGTTTAAGAAGATTGCTTATCCATTTCCTATACCATAGTTGATGCTCACAATGTTATCCCTATAGAATATCCCAATAATAGTCTTATAAAATGATATATTGGATGATGGACTGTCATAACAATGACAATAGAAACTGATATTACTAGTGGATAACATGTTCACACAAGACACTTAACATAATATAGGCCTAGCTATTGACTGGCTGATACAGTAATCACACAATTTCAAATTTGACTGCACAACACACACAAATGTGCAAGGAAAAATTAAAAAAATATGTTGGGAAAAAAAAAATGTGGAGAAAATGTATAATATATGTATATACATACAGTATTCATCATTGGTACTCTATAGGCCTACAATTGGTATATTATACAAATGCAGTAAAACAACTAGGGCACCAGCCCATATATATTGTGCCAAACTGGTCCAACATTAATTATGGCATGAGATTGTTATTGTCAAACAATATCACTTGTCATTACAGAAATGAAACCGATCTAAGTACTAACTACTAAATAATTTTATGTTCTATTATGCTCAGGTTCTCAACATCGAACTTGACACCGATTTCAACAAATTTCATTATCTAAATATTCCCAAACATGTAATTTCAATATTTCTCTAAATCATCTGCTTTCCTACAAAAGACCAAATGTGAATTTCTTTGATTGCATCCATGACGTACACTTTATTCATTTAGTATGGAAGAATATATCCTCTCGGAAATATTTTTTTAGAATGCTATCGATTACAAATGTTAATATTTTCATTTCCTGTGCAAGGCTATGCCT